CACCTCTCTGATGCATCCATTACTTCCTGCTCTGCTCTACCAGGCACTGTTACAATAATCAAAGCTCCATCCCCAGAGGAGGTTACATCTTAACAGGGAACAAGTATAGGCCACCATCCTGGTAGCTGCTTGGAACAGGAACACATAAAACATTTTTTTCAGGGCAGTCCTCACCTACTTTTGCTATGGGAGCCAATAAATTGAAGCTCGATCTAAACAAGAGTGAGGTGTTGTTGGTGAATGGTTTCTCTGACTGGATAAGTCATTTACAGCCTGTTCTACATGGGACTGCACTCCACTTGAACATGCAAGCTCATAGCTTGTGGGTGTTGCTGGATCCATCACAACTGGTCAAGGCCTAGGTTGTCTTCGACTAGCTTTAGTTGATGGTCCAGCTGCAACCCTATTTCTGGACAGGGATAATTTGGCTTCAGTGATCTATGGTAACCTCTAGACTAGACTACTCCAATGTGCTGTATGTGGGGACAGGGCCGTCTTAAGCATATCTGGTGCCTTGGTGCGAAGATCCCTCCAGCACACACACACCCCATTTCCCAGAGTTGTTTACCTTTTTAAGGGGGGAACCCCAAAGTTGTTGACATTTTTTAGGAAAGGTTCCCCAGAGTTGTTGACCTGAACGTGGGAATTCCACAGATTTCACTACAGGGAAGGAGGGGCAAGAGCTGGGGGTGGGGAGAACCTAACCCTTCCTTCAGTGGATGAAAAGAGAGTGAGAAAGTGAGACAGAGGAAAGTAGAAAGAAGAGGGCATTTAACCCACTAATGGACAGGAGAAGAGGGTGGTGGCCGGGAAGCTGAGCCAGGGCATAAGCCGCGTCTGATGTTCGGCTTCCAAAACATGTTAACAAACCAGAACACTCACTTCCGGGTTTGCGGCGTTCAGGAGCCGATTTGTTTGGGAGCCAAGCCGTTCAACAACCAAGGTGCCACTGTATTCGCTGCTGGACTTGGTGTGTTACGTGGGAGTGAGGAGGGAAGTGTGGCATTTTCCTAACAAAATACTTTGGTTTCTTAACCTACCTCTCAGGGTTGTTGTGGGGATGGATTGAGGAATGGAAGAACCACACATGCCACCTTTGAGCACCTTGGAGAAAAGCGTGGGATATAAATGCAGTAAATAATACATAATACCTTGAAGTGGGAAATAGCACATCTCCTCACGTGAGGCAATGCATATATTTGCACTAAAGGTTCAACATCTATCCCTCAGGGCGTATGTGCAAATTACCCAGCTAGAGTACCAGCAAAGAGTGTATTGCACTCAAACAAGACAGTTGCAATTTGGGAGGTTCACATCATGACTCCAGGGGAGGGAACGAGGATTGATCAAGTGTGGAAACTACCACTCCTTGAAGCTGTAGTAAATATTCAAATGGAAATCAAATAAAATTTCCCAAGCTGGGGCCAATTTGTTTATTGCGTTTCCACCTGACCATTTGCCTGGGGAGCTCAGTATGGTGCACATGGAGGCTACTGCATTTTTACATCCCCACAACCTTGTGAGATGGGGGTAGACAACATGGCGCCCACCTGATGTTAAAGCAATGACTCCTATCAGTCCTCCCCAGCAAGACCCGTAGTCAGAGATGATGGGAGTTATAGTCCAACAACATCTGGATGCCACTACATGGGCCTAACCCTGGGTTAAGAGCAAGTGATTTGCTCAAGACCACCCATGCAACATCACAGATGGTCAGAGATCTGAACCCAGTTGCCTCTGACCCAAACCAAAAGCACTATCCATTTCATTGCTTTGGCTCTCCATTATATAACCAGCCAGCAGTTCCTTCTCAACTTCAGAAAGCATATTAGTAGGGCAATGCTTGAAGTGGGGAGGGACTTCTTTTCCGGCAGACCTATCATCATTCTTTTTACGTGGACATAACAGAGTCAGGCCTAACCACTCTACTTCCTTTTCCTTCCGACTTAAGGCCACTGGTCCAGGAAATCAAGTTGGAAGGCTCAAAGCACAGAACCGCAAGACAGGTTTGTGTAACATTCGCATAGCCCAGAGCACCTTATAGCTTGCACAGATGATAGTTAACAATCTGGGTTATCAAACAGGGTTAGGCAACTTCTGCGTTTTAAAAGAGCACAATACCACACTTTTAAAATGCATCCACGACCTATCTGGCAAGTTCACTTTTAGATACAGTGGTACCTCAGGTTAAGTACTTAATTTGTTCTGGAGGTCTGTTCTTAACCTGAAACTTTCTTAACCTGAAGCACCACTTTAGCTAATGGGGCCTCCTTCTGCCGCCGCACGATTTCTGTTCTCATCCTGAAGCAAAGTTCTTAACCCAAGGTAATATTTCTGGGTTAGCGGAGTCTGTAACCTGAAGCATATGTAACCCAAGGTACCACTGTATATGGGACCCAAAAGTATTGAAGGACCTGCAATTTAAAACGAGCATCTTGAATTGTGTCTGGACTGGAAGACATAGTGGTCAAGCACAGTAGCTCAATGGAAAGAGCACATGCTCTGCATGTGGAAGTTCCCGGGTTCAGTCCCAGCATATCCAGGAAAGATTGGGAAATACTTTGTATCTGGACCCCTAGAGAGCTATTGTTAGTCATTGTAGACAGTTCTGAGCTAGATGAGCTAACGGTCTGATTGAGTTTCCTATGTTTCTAAGTGGAGGACCAGCTTGATCTGATTTTTGTCCTCCCTTTGGACCTCTGCATTCCAGGGCACCTGCAGCCTCTTCTAAATCAAGGAGCCTTTTACGCCTGCTCCAGGCGGAGACATGGAGCCCAGCAAGCGGGCCTGATCCATGAGTAACCCTTTGTTACATTCTCATGAGAAAGGATCTGCGGTGTGAATTCTAAAATGAGTGACAAGGGCAAAATTCCTCTATTGACAGAAATGATTACTTACCCATTTTATAAAGTTTTAGCAGAAACTTGTCTCCCCCCTGGCAACCTCTGCTGCCCCTTTCTCACCCTCTGCTTCCCTAGGCGGTCTCAGGGTGGGGTGCAAGAGGCCACCTGTTATTAACTACCAGCTTATATGAGGAACTTTACATATACCTGGCAGCTAGTTTTTTTAAAAAAATAATTTAGAAAAGGGTCATAAGGTGAAGTCTTTCATCCAAGTGAGCCCAGAGTTTTGGATAGACAAAAAAAAATATGTTCTCCATCAATGAGAGTCATGCAGTGAGACCCTAAGCATGAATGCTGAAAAATAAATGCTATTGTGAGCCTGGGATGCAGCCTTACAGTACCAAAGTCAACTAGATTGTCTATTCCTATGATGGATCACTCCAAAGCCACGTATTTCCTCCCACCAGCCCACACAGAGTAGAAATCCATTATCATGAGGCTGGAACCATATAGAATCATATATGTGGTTTGGTTTTCTCACACTCAGATCATCTCACTGAAATGGAGTTTCACAAGATTCACTTAAGTTACTATTTCTTTTTACAGTTACCCAGATTGGACCTTGAATACATGTAGATCTTCAAAGATATATGTCAAACTGGTTAACTCAAGTAAATATTCTAAGTTGATTTGACACCTTTTTGGGGACTCTGAAATGATGAGCATTGCCATGTATTTTTAATCTCTTGTTGGAAGCCACCAAGAGTGGCTGGGGAAGCCCAGCCAGATGGGCGGGGTATAAGTAATAAATTATTATTATATATAAATTATATATTTCCTTTTCAGCTATTTTTACGTTATGTTCTTTAATATTTATTTTACTTGAAAAAAATTTGGCCATGTTTTGTTTTTGTGTTGCTGTTTCGCTGTGATCAATGAATGCAGTGTTTTAAAAAGTTTTACAATGCAAGCAGCAAAATAACTGAGGGATATTTTAAAATGTGGTACATTTCAGTTCCAAAAATTAACAACATTTTCAAGTCTGAAATGGCATTATTTGAATTTGTTTTTTGCTTGTATTTAGTTATCAGATCAAAACAATTATAACCTGATGCATTATCACTATCTTGATGGATTTTACCCATGGGCTTAATGTGCTCTAAATAAAAGAACCATGTAACAACACCCACAATTGCTTCATAATCTCTGTCTATCTTTTATGATGATTCATTTTCTGTTCATTTGCCCACTTGATCAACACCTAAGAGCTTAACTGCAATACAGTACTAAAATAATGATCCACATCCTTGTTCTATTTCTTCATATTCTTCCACCCCACCCCCAGACTTATCATCTTGCAAAAGTGCTCTTTCCCCTTCCTTTGATAGTTTTGTTTATACTAAGGCCTGCACCTCAAGGAGTTTATTTATTACCTGCCTCTAGAAACACCTTGATACTGCGTAGGACTGGTTGAACAGGAATGGTTGGCATTATTATAATTAAAATAGGTCAAATTGTTACATTTCTGAGTTGTCCTTCGTTCTACAGTGTATTTGCTGAGCTATAGATCACAGCTATAGAAGCACTCGGGGCAAAAGTTCCAAATGTATACATAACATAGGTGAAACTACAAGATGCTAAAGAGGTCAAGGATCCACAAGGCACTGTAGCAGAAACTTCAAGAGATTTCTAGAATGTGGGTGAACTTTTACCACAACACAATGCATCTTTGAATGAGGGTGCTGATTCAGCCTTGCAGAAATTCCTAACCTCGTTTTCTTCATGGCAGACAATTCCTAAGTGACCGGCCCAAGGCTAAATAACAATACAGAGGCAAGAGCTGTGATCACAGCCTGTAACTGCCCAACACTTGGCCACGTGTAGGTTTCTTGAACTTGTGCCAACTCCTGCATCATTATAAAGTAGCTGATTACTAAAATCTCACGCAGCCTGCCACGAGGCATCGATGCCTCCAGAAGAGCACCATCTTTCCTTCTGCAGGAAGGGGAGGGGAAAGGGGCGGGACTTTGGAAGGAAATTTGAAAGGCAGGCTTATTGGGATGAGGATAAGAGGAACTGCCTGCCTTATTAAAGGACCTTCCGTTGGTGATGCTCACTTCTCACTCCAGCTTCCTTACATTTCATTCCTGGGTGAAGGGTTTAGTGGCGCAAAGATGAACGAAGCACGGCCACGTTACATCATCAACCGTCCAGCTTATTCTAGCAACTACTTTGATGAAGAGTTTGAGAGAAAAAATAGAAGTTACCCACTTGGGGAGAAAATAAAGAATCTTTTCAGGTATGTTGAAAGCCATACATTAGTGTTGTAACCACTTTGAGGTGTTTTTTGTTTGTTTGTTTTTTAACAATCAAGCCCTATATAAATTTTATGAAAGAAAAATAAATAAAATAAAATAAAGTCCACATGCTGTCTAGATTTGTGATGTTGGGCAGTCCAACTGAAACTTTGAATGAGAGATTGCTAATTCCATTATTGAGGGAGTTTTGCACAAACCAGGAGCAAAGAGGCAATCTTAATCGAAGCACTCCCACAAAACTGAAGTGAGGTTTTAAAGCAGAAGCTGGATGTTCACCCATCAGAAATGCTATGTGTTGTGGGGCTGGACCAGATTATCTTTGAGGTACTTTCCATCTTTATGATTCACTTTTGTGATTTTCCAACAAATTCTCCTACAAAATTTGCAACCCAAGCAGTGATGCAGAGTTGGTTAAGGCAGTGCCAAATATCCAAACCTTATCAGGCATCAAAGTGAAGTGGAGAATAATAAACACCTCATTCTCAGTTTTTCTCTTTTTCAGTGTTAAAGATTGTTGCTAATTGTTTAATAGCAGACAAATATGTTTCCACTGCCACAGCCAAGAGAGATTAGAGTAAGCAAACTGTACAAATTGTAGAAGGCCAAGCAACTTTTCTGACACTGGCCATCAGAAAAACATAATTATGTAGATAAGAGAACTTGTACTGATTCATTGCCACCATTGCTGGCTTGTTGGCTTTACTCACTCTTGAATAAATATATTTTTTCCAGGAAGGAGAGAGCAATAATGTTGATACCCATTCTCTAAGAAACCCACCCATCCCCAATGCATATTAGGAGTATTTGAAAAGAATAAAACAATTGTGAAGAAGACATTTGTGCCAGCCATCTACCTAGTTTTGTCATCTTTTGTGGCACTTCAGTTGTTATTGGGCTCAGTTTTCATTAGCCTCTGCCAGCACAACCAAGAGTGCAGCAACATCTGAAAGGCCATGGTTTCTCCATCCTGTCACTCATTTATTTTTTTAATTACATTGTTGGTCCTTTATCGCTTTAAAGCAAATTTAAGTTCTCTATATACAGTGATGCATTGGGGCTGTAGGTGGGAGATCACCCTGTTTCAAAAAGAGGTCAAAATAACAGTGAAGACTTGGTTTATGCAACAGTGTTTCCTAGATACCGTATTATTCCTTCTTGGTATTACATGGATTATTTCTCGTTCAGCTAAAGAAACAAGGTGTGGTACATAAAATTAAATGAATGACAGGCCCTGCCCTGAGGCTTACAGTCTAACAGACTAGACACACATCAGAAAGGGAGGAGTCAAGGGGAAAACAGAGGTCTGAGGTTAGTTAGAAAATGTCAGAGGGAGAAGTGAGCTTTGATCAGTCCCTCAGCAGAGTGAGCCGGTGTGCCCTTAACAGAGGTGAGTGTGTGTGTGTTTGGTAGGAGGCTGCAGGTGGCGGGGAAAGATGAAACAATTTCTGGGGTCTTATGCTGCTTAGCGATTCTCATGTCACACATCCTCCCCCCCCCCTTTCTCACAGAGACATTAATTGAGATGCACCCACACATAGAAGCAGTTCACACAGTCATTTGGTCCTGCGGGTATGGTTAGAAAAAACAGTCATGGTGTACCTCTCTCTGGTCATTCCTTGAGGAAATGGTTGAGGAGGACAAAGGAGGAAATCCTTTGTCATATGATGGGACACATTCTTAATAATAATAATAATAATAATAATAATAATAATAATAATAATAATACTTTATTTATACCCCACCCATCCAAACAGTTCCCAGATAATGTTACCTACATCAGTCAGTGCTTTGCTTGAAATTCAGACCCCATGCTTAGGGATAGAGTTGTGCTTTTTTTAATGAGTTCACATTTAATGATAAGCCCACCAAACTGCCACATTCCAAATCAATATGCAAACTGAAACACACTGCTCCTTTGAAATTCACCCTTTTCTGAATTTTGTATTGCAGTGGTTCGGCCAAAAAATTATAGAAATGCACATATTAGTGAAGATAACATACAAAGATGCATTATATATGGGGAAATGGCTCTGCAGAAATGTGTACATAAGGCAAAATTGCAGCCAAAAATGTGTTTTATTGGGAGAAATTTGAACTGAAATGCTAATGAATTTTCGTGAGAATTTTCAATCTGTTAAAAAAAAGGTTGCAAATTTCTGAGGAAATGTGGAGAACTGGATTTAAGACTGTGAAAATGAATAACTGAAAGAATCAAAACTGACACCCCTACCCATTCTACTTAAGGGACTTGCTTAGATGCAGACAAAAGGAGCACAGAGACCACTCAGCATTAGTTGAGTAAGGTGTGTGAACAAATACGTATAAAAGCACAAGCCATGCGCAGGAAATAAGCAACTTGCAACCAGGTGTTGGATCCAGAACATTAGTTTTCTCCACAGTATGTGCTTGTACTGCACTGCAGGACTTTGGGTGGATGGCCATTTGATGTATATATTCTCTAGATGTCGACTGGGTGAAGGCATTGCCAAGCAAGCATTAATTAAGTAAACTGGATGCATTACTTTGGATTACACAATGATGTTGACTTTAGATTTGGGTGGCACCCAGCGTGACTGAATGGTCTCTTAAGTAGACAGAGCTGTGGAATCATGCCAAAGGAATAGCTGCTCTCTGAGTGACTTCACAGATGCTCAGAAGAGTGCCACCTAGGGGAGAAAAAATAAGTACAGACATAGCTATTTTAGATACCTAATTCAAAGCAATCTGGTTCAGTTGCAAATGCAGCACATTCATCTTATATGGGACACATTAATGCTTGATGAAGAGCAGCAATATCATAACCGTTGCCACTTATTACAAAAGTATAGATCTTTCTTCTTTCAGTCAGGGTATAAGCTCAAGCACAATAAAAGTGGAGGTGATGTTAAAGCCAGTCACTTTAACTTCAAAATTGCAAATTAAACTGGGCTTGAGGCTTTTCACGTTGAACTGAGCAGTCTGCTACAAGGTGTCAGTGCAACTGAGAGCTGATTCTTGCCTCTTCTTGGCCTTACAAGTGTGCTGTCAATGTTTTTCAGCTTGGACTGCCTTTAGCCTGTGTTTTTCTGCATTTGACGTAGTGGTTATGTGAGCGGTGACTCTCAGCTGCAGTGTCAAAAGTGCAATAATAATGGTAGGAAGAGAAGACATAGCAAGAAACCACAATCTGTTCCCTGGACCTACCCAGCCAAACCTTCTCCGATAGATCTTGCAAGCCATTATAGGCAACGGTAAACAGAGCACGTAGTCAGCCTAATCTTAGGGTGCAATAACAATGCCCTAGACATTTCCACTAGACTGATATCATCTGTGGCATCAAGTTCAGAGGGAATGCAAGCAACTTTAACCCACAAAATGCTTTGCAGATTTATCACAGCAAACTTCTGAGTGGTTAACTGTCTCTGACTTTACCACTCACTCCTTTATAAATGAAACAATGCTCACAAGACAGCTCACAAAGGACACAAGTGTGGTGAAGAAGTAGGCTGGCTTCCCTGCTGCCACAAAATGGTAGACATGCTTATAAACGCTTACAAGTGTTGGGTCAATTTCACCTTGAGACTTGTGTCACCAGCCCTCTGGCATCTTCATTGCATCCTCTATCTTCTCATTTTCTCCCCTCCATGTGTCAGAGAACAATTAAAAGTGGATCTAGAGGACAAAGGCTGTGCCATGTCCTGCATGCAATTAGGACCAAAGGGGCTGAGGGTGGAGGTGGAAAGAGAGGGCAGCATATAAAAGGATGGAGGAGCCACCTCTGAAGCCTGAAGCCCTTCCAGCTACCACTTCTGGGCTTGGCTGCACCCTCTGGCTCCTCCCAGCCCCCATGTGTCACAGCATGCATCATTGCCCCCCACCAATATTTTATTTAAGTTGGCGCCTCTGCCTGAGTCTCTCTGGGCAGCTGCAGCCAATCAGGAATAGGCAGCACCAAGCTAGATGGGCCAATGACCTGATTCACTACAAAGCAGCTCTGGGAGGAAGTTCCACTGAAGCAGTAGGACTATCTTTGGAGTAAACATTCATAGGTTCTAAGTCAGTGCTTAACTGTGCAGTTGTATCCTGTTGATTTCTCCTGTCCCATTGCTGAAGCAGGTCACATACTTTGTTCTGCTAACTACCGTATTTTTCCATGTATAAGACGACCTCTACTTCTGGGAGCCCAAAATCAATAAATCAGTATTTTTAAGTTGTTTGCTTTGGGGGAAATCGCCCCAAAAAAAGGTGTTGAGCTTTTTCTGAGCAATTCTCCTCTTGATCCCCGAGCCAAACTCCTTCCTCACCTTGGCACCGCCTCACCTCTCTAGCCGGCAGAGCTGCCAGCTCACCCAAGACCATGGGGGGGGGGAGCATTGTCTTGTTCACAGAAAAATACGGTAATCCACTGAGCAGGCTGTACCAGGGCTGCTTGAACTAATAATGTGATGGCTTATTACCCTCATTGTGTTTAGCCACCCAGTAACAACCCACATTGATTTTGCTGAAATTTTGTTCGGTTTGACAAAGGATCTTGATTTTGACGTGTCATTAACAAGAAGCCTGAGCAAACACCCACCACAGAATTCAGCTGGGCATCTTGTTCTCCAGAGTTTGAGGGAGGCTGGGATAATGGGGAGCTGACCCATTACTGCATTAAACACAATGAAAGGCTAATTATGAATAATAGGAATGGAACATTTTTTCCATTGTGTACTTCATGCCAGCACTGTGTGGGCGTAGAAAACCACGAGACCAAAACAGCAGCTCTTTGCCCTGCCTGCATAAAGTGCTGAGTTCAGTCCGTCTCCTTATAATAATTCACAAAATATCTAACAGTGGAAAAGTCTCCTATTAAATTCAGTACTGTCTTTCTCCTTCCTCACTAGATGTTCACCATCCAGATTCAAACTCATCCTGTACAGCCTGTTTCCTATTCTTGTATGGCTTCCAAAATATAAAATCAAAGATTATATTGTGCCCGATGTCCTTGGTGGAATCAGTGCTGGGACTATTCAGGTGCCTCAAGGTGAGAGAACTTTGCCCTTTCCATATTACTACCAAACATGAGTAGTTTTACCAATGGAAAAAAATGAGGAAATGTGGATGTAACTTGGTGTAACACATTAGCTAAACTATGGCAGGTAATAGATTTCAGCTTATGGCCCACTTTAGTTATGATCAGTGAAATGAAGATGTCTATTTACTCTGCTCTGGTTCATACTTTTAAAAATCAGCCCCTCCCTAATGTGTAGGCACCTCACACCACAGCCATAGGGGGAAGTGGCATATGAACCAGGGTGTCAACATTGACACAATACTCCTGAAATCTGTCACAAAGTTCATTTTCTCCAAAAGTGAGAATAAATCATGTAAGCAGACTCTTATTGGGATTGGATATCTGTATGTGTGCCCTATATCAAACATTACTACCCCAATGCATTTATAAGGATGGGACTGAACAATGTGGGGAATTTTTAACTGGAACATGGATCTGCATTGGCATCTTGGTTGTGTAAACCTCAGCAATAATGACAGAACCTTAATGTCACCCTTAGCCTGCTTGCTGAGCACCCTAAACATCTACTGTCGTCTTTGTTGCCTAACCTTTCTGATGGTGCCATGCTGAAAGGTTGGCATACCTGCTGTAGAATCTGCCATGGTGTGTGGCATCTTGTTTTCATAAGGCAGACTTGAGCATAGTTAGGATGGAAGGTCTGATCTGCTTTTCACTTGTGTTTTTTAGGTATGGCCTTTGCTCTGTTGGCCAACCTACCTCCGATCAATGGGCTCTACTCGTCCTTCTTCCCTCTGATAGCCTATTTCTTGCTAGGAGGTGTTCATCAAATGGTCCCAGGTGAGGTCTTCTATTCCACTATAGTGACCGAATTAAGTGCACATACCTCCTCAAGCTTTAGTACATAAACTGGAAGTTTGCACTAATGCATTAAAGAAAGGGCAGAGGTGGGGAACATCTATTGTCAATAAAATTATGGCCTGATCTCACTCAAATATCAGTTGACATGTCTCTTATTCTTGGTAATGGGGAGGAACCACTGGCGGAGGAAGGTGGGTGCAGGGGGGGTGCCCTGCTCCGGGTGTCATCCCTGAGCGGGGGTGACATTCAGTGCACCGCCCACCTGCGTCTTGGACTCCCACGCCTACCACGAGCCGTTGGGGGAAGGGGGGAGCTGCTCCTTCCTCTCCCCTTCCTGGCCGCCTGCCTCCTTCCCATCCTCTCCCCTGCCTGCCTGCCTCCTCCAGCTGGGAGTGTGGCACAGCAGCTCCCCCCTTGCCCTGACGGCTGGCGCTAGGCATAGGAGTCATGGGCGGGCAGTGCGCCGTTGCCCCGTGCTCCCGGCTAGAGGAGGCAGGCAGGCAGGCAGGCGAGAGGTTGGGAAAGAGGCAGGCGAGCGGGAAGGGGAGTGGAAGGAAGCGGGATCAGTGGGTGCACATGCGGCTATCCTGAGCCTGGGAGGGCACCCTCCATGCCCTTCGAGAGCACGCCCCCGCGCCCCTTGGGAACGCGCCCATCCTGTGCAGCGCGGGCATATGCTCTGCCACTGGGAGGACCAAAGAGTAGGGGGATGCCATGCCATTCAACCTGTTTCATAAACTAGTTGCAAGGCTGGGGAAAAGAGATCAACAATTCATTTTATGCCATTATCAGTCATGCACCATTCAGCTGCCTTACGCTACTGCCAGTTACATAGATGAAATTAAGCAGAAGGGTAGCCCAGCCTGGCCCATTGGTCTATATATTTTTGCAGTCTTCAGCCATCTTAAGCACTAACTGTCACTACATACATGAGAGATGCTCTGCATGAGTGTAAGCCAACCTTTGTGTGTGTGTCCCACAGGCACTTTTGCAGTCATCAGTATTATTGTGGGGAATGTCTGTCATGAACTGGCTCCTGATTCCGACTTCCAGTACTTTAACCACACAGCCAATGAGGTGATGATTAACAACACAGCCATGGAAGCAGCCAGACTGGAGATCTCTGCCACCTTGGCTTGCCTGACAGCCATAATCCAGGTAAGGATGCCTTGTATTCAGAACTGTGGAGAAGGCAGCCGTGCATAGAGTTTGGCATTAACTGCTCATGTATTGAACAGAAGGGAAAGCAAAGGGATGACTATACTAGCATTTGGAAGCCAATGTAAAAAAGATGGCTACTTGAGCTGTATGGATGAACATGTGCCTTTAAACACCCATGTATACACATCTAGAAACTCTAACTGTGCCAGGACATCACATGCATCCATAGATGTTCATCAACACATGTTTATGTGTGTGTGGCATCAATACGTCAAGTGTTTCCTACATGAAACACTGGTATACCATGTTTGCATGTCATATGTGGAGCTGCCCTTATACTGATGCCCAAGATGAGGCAGCAATACTCTTTATAGGTAGTAAGCCAACAGCTAAATCTTGGTGTGGCTCAGAAAGATCTGTGCCATGCCTTATCTGCTGTTACCTCATCTCTCCTGTGGCAGGGGTGGGTCACATATATTGGGTCAGTGCCATACTCCTACACTGGAGGAAATTCCTCCTGCAACAGTTATCTTATTCATTTCCACACACCAGAGACTAGGGATGAAAGGAGCTCTCAATTCCGGTTATCTTCAGTTCTTCCCCTTTCTGCAGCAATGTGAGATTATTATTATTTTCAAATCCTCATGAAAGTTCTTCAGCATTTCAGTGTGAGGTTTTGACTAAGCTATACATTTTTGCAAGCGATTCCTCCTAATGTAGCATATTTTAGTTTGTTATGTTCACTTGCTATATTCATTTTTATGCCCGTTCCCCCTGTTATATGTATTTTTATAAACAGTGGTTGGTTGGGGAACTGCGTTGCAAAACTCATATAAGTGTGAACTTTGAAGGATGGCTATACTTTGGTTCCCATGTTGATTTGGAAAGAGCAACTTATATACACTCAGCTTCATTTGCAAACTGAACTGAATTTCTTCCCTGTCCAAGATTCCTGTGGACTATAGTTTGAACTATGGAATATCCTTCTGAGAAGTTGTGCTCACTATTCCATTTGGCATGCCTGTCTGTCTGTCTGTCTGTCCATAGATATGCCTAGGATTTGTGCAGTTTGGCTTCGTTGCGATCTACCTCTCAGAATCCTTCATCAGGGGCTTCATGACAGCAGCTGGCCTGCAGATCCTCATCTCTGTGCTCAAGTATATCTTTGGCCTGAAGATTGACTCTTACACAGGACCCCTTGCCATTGTTTATGTAAGTTAGTTACCAGAATATGATATGATGGTTATTGCCCTAAACTGCCTGATTATGACAAATGATATTAATGATTAATTTCCCTAGTCAACTGACTGGGCCCTGGAAGAGTTGGCTTGCTGTTTAATGCAATAATGAATGGCTGAGATGTTTATCTTTTCTTTGCCTTAAAATGCAAGAACAAATGAAAATAATAAAATAAAATAGATAATTAAACCATATATTTATGAAAGGAAATGTGATCAACTGGAATGAAGAAAACATGAGGTCAGGAAAGGAGAGATATTTCAAGAGAGAATGGCAGGCTTGCAGAGTCTCCCAGATCTTGCACAGAAGGCAGAATTTTGCTTGACGTGGTGCTGCATGGCAGGAAAAGCTGCTCCTGGTGAATTTTCCCTTCTAGATAACTCTTCAAAGGTACAGGAGTACTTTTGGGGTCCTGTAATTCTAGGAAATGTGCACAAAAGTGTCAGAGTTACCATTAATTCTTCCACATTTTAATTATAAGGGATTAGAAGAAAGCGTTTGTGGAGTTATGGAGGCTGCAGTGACCTGCTGTGCGCCTCTTGAACCTTTCTCTGAATTCCCAGCTGGATGCCGTTGTTGGAAACAACAAATCAGATTAAATGCATCCTGTCTGGTCAGGCCCTGCTTACTGACCCTATAATTAATCCAGAGCTGGCTACTGCAGGGACTGTGCTGCTTTGAGTGCTAGCAAGTCTCAACAGCAGACTACAAGGCTGAATAATGGCCACTGATGGACCATCTTCATGTCTTGGAAAACAAACACCATGGCATATCTCCCAGTCACGCTGAAAAATGCACATGCTGCCCTTTTCTTGTTTCATCCTTCTTTTCTTTTTTCTAGACCTTTATCGATATTTGCAAAAACTTGCCCAAGACCAATATAGCCTCCCTCGTCTTTGCATTGATCAGCACTGTGCTTCTGATTATTGTGAAGGAGCTGAATATGAAATACATGAAGAAGATTCGAGTCCCCATTCCCATGGAGATTGTTATAGTAAGTAGTAGATCCTGAGCTCTTTCTTTCCCCTGCTTTTATCAAAGTGGTTAGAGGGCATTAGAACCTCCACTGTAGTCAGTGCCTGCCTGCCCTCCCTTCTCGTCAGATGCAGAGATAAATTTATAAAAGAGCTGTTGACTATTCAGCTAACAGAGTGGTCAAAAATACACCCAAGGAGGAAATTGATGCAATAATTCACTTCTGGGGGAAGTATTACACTCAAGTTTTCTGATTTGAGATAAGGAAGCTGGCATGTTTCTGGTTGCACTAGAGGTCTTCTGAGTCCTTTCCAAATGTTTGGATTCTCCCCCCCCCCTTTGCACAATAAATGTCCAGTTATTTGTGCGCAAGAGTCTACCATATCTGATGAAATGGATGAAATCCTTCCCCAATGAATTTGTTAAGGTTTTGCAAGACTCTTGGCTGTTTTTATTGCCACGAACTAACACAACTACCCCTCTGTAATTTGACGCAGGGAATTCAACCATCTTCATTCAAGATAATGCTTCTGTTGTTTTAATAATAACATGCTTTCCCAACTCTTGGACAATTTCCTGGTTCATAAGCCATGCTAAGCTACAGCTTGGTACTATATGGATGAGGGGCCACAAGTCTTCGTGAAGCAGACTTTCTCCTTCCACTTTCTTACAATGAGGACTTACGCCAAGTTTAGTTTCACTTTCAACAAAGCTCTTTTTAGCATTACTTATGAACTGAGAGTCGCAGTTTATAACAACAGTTATTTGCTAAGTAAGGCAACTTCAAACCAGTCCTTAGTTTGTGCCCCTTTTGCACACCTGCTGTGACAAACTGGTCCATGCAGAAGTCAGATATTAAAAACGTTAGGGTATTATTCATCTGCAGGCTCACAAACCTGTTGCTGATACTAACTGCATCATTAACCTATATATCCCACCAACTTAAACAAAAGTGCAAACTTGTGCTCTCAGGTGTTTGGTCAGCCAAGGTCACTGAAGAAAAATGTGCTGATAGGGCCAGCTTAACCTTGACTCGTGCTTCAATGAGTCTGGGTGAAAACATCCTCGGACTATACAGCAGGAAATGTCCATGCAGATAATGTAGTTGTATTCCAAAGTATTGAAACGTGATAAGACAGGAAGCTGTAGTAAGATGCTTACATGCCTCAGGTGATCAGGGCGGCAGGAGGCCAATGTACGTGCTGACACCCAGGCAGCATTTGTGTAATTAGAGCTGTGGGAAATGCAAAGATTTGGGCAGACCTTGTCTTTGGTTTCAATTTGCAATCACTCCAAAGTTTGCTATTGCAGCAGTGTGAAATGAAGCTTGCTGTTCTAATATAGGAATGTGTTACATCCACTTTACTCTGGTTTTGAATAGTATTGGTGGAGACAGGATGGCAGAAAAAGCAGAATTTACTCAAGTTTCAAAAACTGAAATGTGCAGGAGAGATGCCGTGAGAACAGGAATCCATGTGAACCATGGCAAAATGCCCGAATAAAACTTTCTCTGACTTATCAGTTTTATTATAGCAGTTAGCTCTAAGACAGACCTCTTAGAAGAGGTTCTCCCAGACTCTGAGAATTCTCAATTATATACTTTGATCTACCCTGTAGCCACTATCTTCTTGATACAAAAGAGATTTTACATGGAGTGTCCTGACAATAAATGGAGCAGTCCAATGCACCCACAAATTTAAACATAGCTGGTAGATATGATAATGCAGGACTAACTTCTACATTCATTCATTCATTCACTATCTACAGGAAAACTACTCTCAATGGCTTTCCCCCCACTTAATGCACATCAAAATTTATATAAACTGAGTCCAGTTCTCTGCTGAAGGAATATGTTAACAAATTTAGCTTGTATGAAACCGAAAAATGTGCTGCTAGCCTAAAGCCTTTTTTATGCTTTGATTTCAGGTCATTGTAGCTACTGCAATTTCTGGAAGCTTTGATATGCCTGATAAATATGACATGCCCATTGTTGGCCATATTAATATGGGGTGAGTCAATGCACTGGATTATTCTCTTTCCAAGAGTTCCTTCACTTCCAGAACAGGGGTAGCCTACTGATGCCAATCCATGAATCCCACCCACTGTATTTAAAAATGAATATATTCTGGAATAAGGGCTGAGCCAGACATGATATGGAAGATTCATGAACTAAAAATAAGAAAACTTGGAGAGTTTGCAGCAAGGTGAGCAGCGGAAAGAGGGTTTTTTTAAAAAAGAAGAAGAAGAAGAGAAGGCTCTTTTTACTCCCACTCTGCTGCAATCTCCCCCCCCCCCCAACTTTCCCACCAGCTCCCAGAATTAACAACCAGCCATGTTGAAGGTGAGGGCAAGAATAGATAAAATTGTGGGCCCTTCTGAAAACAAGTTGAAACAGAGCTTGCAGTGGCTGGATGTGTTTCAGCATCTCTAAATGGAATGGAAAGTAGGGCAAGCTTAAAGTGGACAGTGTCTGCAAGCCTTGATTTATATGAGTCAGTCCTTTAATGAATTACAAGCACAGTATAATTGCAAAGTGGATAATAACCATTGCGGTATAAAACTGTACCATTCATTCTATGCTGCCGTGACTATTCTAAGGTCTGCACATGTCAACATTCCTGCGCTGAAGGAATAAACAAGGTTTTTTTTTTTGTGGGGGACAGGACTGCCTTCTAGGCTATTACTATGTTTGTGTGAAATGGCTTGAATCCATTATATATTAAGACCAACTCATGCCTTACTCTTTCGGGGGGAAACTGGGCAGAACTGAATCTTGCTTCTACATCACACACACACACACACACACACACACACACACACACCACCATCTCTCTGGTCCATTGGTTTCATCTCCAGCTACTTGTTTTCTTATCCTGTCTGCTTGATTTTGTTCCTTTGATGTTAGATTTCCATCTGCTACTCTTCCCGAGGTGGGCAAGTGGAAGGACATGATTGGCACAGCTTTCTCACTTGCCATTGTGGGCTATGTGATCAACCTGGCCATGGGCAGAACTCTTGGAACCAAGCATGGCTATGATGTGGACCCTAACCAGGTAACATTTAGTGGCTCTTTACAGAGAGAGGAAAAATAACTCACCCCAAAGTTGGCCATTTCCAGGGTTGGAGTCTAGTGACTTGTCCTCAGAGGGACAGTGCTAGATTTATAGGAAGAAAAGTAGGGGACTCTTAATGATATTTCCAATCCCTGCCCCGACTCCCCTCAGTTTTAGTCAGTTCACTCCCTTTACTCTTCTAACAATAGTATCTAAACAAAAAAAATTCCTTCCAGTAGCACCTTAAAGACCAACTAAGTTAGTTCTTGGTATAAGCTTTCGTGTGCATGCACACTTCTTCAGATACCACGAAAGCTTATACCAAGAACTAACTTAGTTAGTCTTTAAGGTGCTACTGGAAGGAATTTTTTTTTGTTTTGACTATGACTATCTGTTTTGACAGATAGGTAACACGGCTACCTATCTGTAACTAATAGTATCTAAGAGAGCCATCACAACAAGTAAAAGGACCTCCTTGTAATTCAAACACTGCTATGGAGAGTTCCCCTTCAGACTCCTCTGAGGCAACTCACACCATGGACGGATTATCAAAGTTGCTATCAAAGAGGATCCAATGGAGGATCCAATTTTCTCAACACATTAAAAAAAAAAATAGGGAGAGAAAATAATAGAATCATAGAGTTGGAAGAACCGAATGGGTCATCTAGTCCAATCCCAGGCAGAGCAGGAATCACACAAAAAGGAGATAACATCTGCTCCACATGACGAGTTTGCCTTATGGGAGCAGTGGGGAACTTGTGGCCCACCAGGTATTAATAGACTCATCCCTGACCTACTGGCTGAGGCTGGTGGGTTGGAATCCAATAACATCTGGAGGACCACAGGCAGGGGAGGCCTGTCCTGTTTCACCACCTGAGGCAAAACAGGAAAATGCCACTCCTGCCGCAGTTTGCTCACTGGGGTCACAACGGTGACAGATTCTGACATCTTGCCGGAAGTCATTCTCAATCGGCAGAACCCCTTGGATTCCACACCTAAGGCAACTGCCTCACTCTGCCTGATGGCCCTGTGGGGGAGATGCAGACCCCTCCCTCCCAGGATGCCCCTCTGTTTGTAGCCTTCCTAAGTTGGTGCTGCCTTGAGCAGGACTGGCCCACAACATTTTGGCACCTGAGGCAAACCACAAATGGTGTCCCCCTCCCCACAAGGGAAGAAGGGGTGAGTGAAGATGTGCATCAGGACAAGGGGAAATGAAGGTCTGCATTGGGATCTGCTGCCCCTGTGGATCAGCCGCCCAAGGCAATCTGCTCACCTTACCTCATGCCTGCGCCGGCCCTGGCCATGGGTTCCTTGATTCTTCCTTAAGGAGGCAGTTGCCAGCAGTGGTGGCTATCGCAACTGCGGCTTGACATGATTGGTTGTTTCTAATGTTATTTTTAACAGAACAATTTTTTCTTGTTTTTTGTCAAAGCTACTCTGGGTGCCTATAAGCTACTCTGGGTGCCTACAAATAAGCAAAACAAAACAGGATATGATATTTCACAACAGCTATATGAACCCCAGCAGTAAGCATACTTTGTGCAAATCTCAGTGTCATTGTTTTAAATAGCTCCTGTACATTTCAGGTTGTGCTGGTCTGTTGCTGCTTGATAACTCTACTGAGAACTGGCCCCTGACTCAGAGAAGAATCTGGAGCGCACACACACATGGAGACTATTTGTTGGACATTTAGCAATTAGCTCAAGTAATTAGTTCCTAAGACCTCTCAGTCAGATTAAAGAGGCTTCTCCAAAGAGCAGCTCAGAAACTGTGTCTTCTGAAAATGCCTTGTGTGCATCACGTGGCTGTGGAGCGTGTCCTCCCTTGCTAGCACTTGCACAACCACAGCTTTTTAAAACAACCTGTAGCCAAGTGTGCTACAGGTTACTCCTGCAGGACCTTTCTGTACTGCTTGCTGGATGATTCATCAGGGATGAGAGTCTCAGATTAGAGTTGTGGTTAAGGGAAGCCTGCAATAATTTTCCTGCTCTGAGGGTTTGCAAGAGAGTCAGAGAATCCTGGGATGCTTCTGGAGTGAGAAGAAGCAATTTTCATGGGGTGTGAAAGCGCCTCGGGTGATGCGATTGCAGGTATGACGGCAGTCTTTTGTATAAATAATGCCGCCCTCACATGTGAAGGAAGAATCTTGGAGCTATATGACCGCTTGACCTACTTTTTGCATCCCAGCAATAGCTGCCAAAGTAACCTTACTGTAAGAGAAACGTCACCTTGTTTGTTAATGCTGCCACCTAAACTGATTAGTCCATTATCCTTGTTTCCATAGGAAATGCTGGCCCTTGGCTGCAGCAACTTTTTTGGATCCTTTTTCAAAATCCACGTAATTTGCTGTGCTCTTTCTGTGACCTTAGCTGTGGATGGAGCTGGAGGAAAATCTCAGGTTATTAATTCATTGGTTTGTTTAGCCCCTCTCTCTTCTCAAAGTAGGAGACTTTGTAAGATGAGCTCTGAGCATTTCTAGATCATGGATTAGCTTGAACTAGTTGAACATTCTTTTCCTTGGGGATATAATGTGAAGAGGGCTTGGGAATGACATGGCTTTCAAATGAAAGCAATTGACTCTTTTATACTGCAGGTAGATAATCAACCTGTTGTTCTGTTATTGGAACAGAATTGGCCACATGAGTGGATCTTCAAAAGCAGATCCAAATGGTAACCATTGGCATTCTTATAGTCCTTTCAAATGTTTACAACACTTCAGAAACATCATCTTGTTGTAATCCTTACAACCCTTTAAAGGTGGGTCAATTCCCCTATATAGGGCAGAGAGTGGAGGTAGAGAAAAAGTGGCTTGTCTAAGGCTATCTAGTGAATTCATGGCTGAAGTGAGATTTGAACCAGGAACGGCCTGATTTGGAGCTCCATTTTCACCACCACACTACAGCGTACTAGACCCCCAACACTTGCAATTTGTAATCATACCCATTTTAATTTTTGTCAGATTCCGAAATAGATATTAAGATTATGCCAATTTTTCATCTGCAGCAGTTCAAGTCATGTTGACAGTTCTTGTAGTTGAAAGAAGAACCTGTGGCCCCCTCCAGATATTGTTGGACTCCAACTCCCATCAGCCCCAGCCAGCATGGCCAATACTCAGGGATGGTGAGAATTGTAGTCCATCAACGTCTGGAGAGCCACAGGTTCCCCACCCATTATAGTTGGTCAGGCTACACGGTACTAACATGTGGCTTTGCATGATGATGGGCAAACAGGATTTTGCATCACTGTATCTCAGTTTCCAGAGCGGTAGCCATCTTAGCTTGTTGCATGCAATAGTCTCTCGTGGCATCCTCAAGACCAATGAACTTATTACAGCATAAGCTTTTGGGGTCCACAGTCCACTTCATCAAATGCATTATATTACAGCACGTCTTTTGGTCTTGAAAGTGCCACAAGACCCTTTATGGAATCTCAAATGCAATCCTCCATTAAGCAAATGGATCAGATCCATTCTGTTCTGCCTTATCTAGCTTTATAAGTCAACAGAGCCTTTGCCTGGTGCTGTTCTGAACTTTTCACAGGGGATCCAGAACTCCTCAGGCTTGTCCAGAGGTGCCTGTCCTTTAAATAAAAGGCAACAAATGAAAAATTATGCAGCAAGGATCTGTCTCAGGTATAGGGAACCTGCAACCTTCCTGATTTTGTTGGCCTCTCCCATCACTCTCAAACAACATGGCCAGTAATCCAGATGATCACACTCATAGTCCAGCAACATCTGGAGGGACAAAGATTTCCCACCCCTGATCTATAGGCTAACGAGAAGCTCTTTGACATAATTTGAAAATGCACAATTATAAAAATGGCCAGTTTCTCCAATTAAATGCAGTGTTATTATATGTAAACCCCCCCCCCATGATTAACAATGTAGTTACTAATAACATGGCCTCTCATATAAAGACAACAAATAATTCAAGGCTCTGTTGCAAGCAAGGGGTGGAGCAGGACAAGAAGCCATCTTTCTATCCCACTAATCTTCTCAGCTACCAGACTACTGACTTATATTGTTTCTTGTTTCTACTACTGACAGATAGCATAACATAAATTGCAGGTCCTTTTTGTGATAAGTTGCTTTTCTCTCCTCAGATGGCAAGCTTTTGTGTGGCAGTGGTCGTGATGATAACCATGTTGTCCTTGGGAATCTACCTCGGCCCTCTTCCTAAGGTAAAAATTGTACCACCGAGCATGAAGACATGCTTCCAGACTGTGTACCGGTAGTTCAGACTTATCTTCTGCTGTATTTACACCACAGGCTTATACTGGCTTAATAGTCATTCCCTTCCCCCAGAGAACCCCGGAAATTGTATTTCCTGAGGTGACCTAGGAATCAGAGAATTGCATATACCTCCACCAATTTACAAAGCCCAGGATTCTTTGGGAGAATCAGACAGTTGAACTGGTATAAAACCAGTATAAATGAGAAATGTTTGTATGCTTGGTGTCTTAAGTTCCCCCATCTTTAACTAAGGAATGCCTTTCTGTAACAGGCTTGGTCAAACAAATTCCAGCGTGGTGCCATTTTGATTTCAGATGGAAGGAAATGACTGGCTAAATTCAGAGTACTTGACAGAAAGTTACTCTAACTCAGTGGTCACAACCCACCCACCCTTTTTTTGGGGTCATGTGAGCACATTTGCACTGTTGTGGACACTTTTCAGTTACAACTGGCAATGAAAGGGAACATGATGACAGGAACCAGACAAGTGGCAGAACTGACTTCTTATGAGGCTGCACAATTCTGCCACTGAGGCTACATTCCTATGCATGCTTTCCTGGGAGCAAGTACTATTGAAAACACACTTACTTCTGACTAAACATATACAGTGGTACCTCAGTTTACGAACAGTCCTGTTTACGAACTCCGCAAAACTGGAAGTAGTGTTCCGGTTTGCAAACTGTACCTCAGTTTACGAATGGAAGCCGAACGGTGGAAGGGCACCGGCAATGGAAGGTCTCGTTAGGGAAAGCATGCCTCGGTTTAAGAATGGCTTTGGTTTAAAAATAGACTTCCGGAATGGATGAAGTTTGTAAACCGAAGTACCACTGTATAGGAATGTGCTGATAGTTCCTTTTGCCTGTGTCCTAGTTCTAGGAGGAATTTATCTTCAAGACAGTTTGGGCCTACTTGGGCAGGCATTGTGTTGGAAAAGGACAACCACTATATAGCATATTAATGATTTTTTGGCAATGTGCAGCAATATCTGACTTACAGCATACTCCATAGCTGTCAACCTTCTCTTTTTTTGGCGGGAAATTCCCTTATTCCAGCGCCGTTTCCCACTGCTTCCCACTGCTATCCTGAATTGTCAGATATTCCGTAGACTGCCCCCGGGACAGGTGAGGCTGCTGATCCCTTATTTTCGAGGCTACTGATCCCTTATTTTCAAATCTGAAAGTTGACAGCTATGGCATACTCCTATCAAGAAAATGTAGCCATTGCGGCAGAAACAGGAATCACACTGGGGCAGCAAAAGGCTGTTATATTATTGAGGCTTTTCGTTATCTATTTAGTTAACTTTTAGTTATCTATTTGTTATCTATATCTATGTTGTGTGATCTTTATTGCAGGCTGTGTTGGGAGCCTTGATAGCTGTGAACCTGAAGAATTCTCTCAAGCAATTGACTGATCCTTACTACCTCTGGAAAAAAAGCAAGCTGGACTGTGTGAGTGCCCCTTTTTAAATGCCTTGTGAGAGAAGAGGGGAGTCCGAACCTATTGTTTGGTATGGGTTAAGTCACTCCTTTGTAAAGCACCACCAGCATGAAGCCTAGAGTGTTCAATGAGAACGTGAAACCAGGGCTGATTGGCTTTCGCATTTCCACATGCAATAAAATCCCCTTGGAGTTCCTCATAAAATCTGGATTGCTAAGAATATCAGGTGCTTTTTTCCTAAAGGCAAGAATCTAGCCAGCATAGCTATGGAGATATATTTCAGCCATGTCTCTCAATGATAAACAAATACTCCATAAGAACTCCAAGTGTTAAATTCCAAATAAAACAATGCAGGAGTCACCCTTGAATAAGTCATATTGCATATTTATTCTGATAACAAGATTTCTATTTCCTTGTCATATAATTACATTTTCTTGCTGGAGTTTATGAATACATAGGAGTATATTGTAAATGAATGTTTATGAGCAGAGCCCTATGAACATAACTTCTGAACTAAAAGTTCAAATGGTTAGTGTATGCAATATACAGACCTGAGCTAACATGACCAAGGCTTTTGTTTCTGTTTTCTAATTAACTGCAGTTTTGCATTACATTTGAGTCCTAGATTTAACTATGGTTTAGTTAATCTTAACTATGGTTTGTTTGAAAGCAATCAGCTTCATAACCTGTGGTTTCACAACATGATTTATTTTGATGGAAGAGCACAGCCAAAGTCTATTGCTATGATGCGAGCTGCCTTTTAGAGTCTGTTGCCAACACTAATAATACTGGTGGGGAACATATGATTTCCATGCAAAATGACTCAAGTTCAATCTCTGACATAGGAAAGAGACCCTGGAAATCTCTTAACAATTAATACTGGTCTAGTCTAGTTCAGGGTGGCGCTGTGGGTTAAACCACAGAGCCTAGGATTTGCCGATCGGAAGGTTGGTGGTTCGAATCCCCGCGATGGGGTGAGCTCCCGTTGCTCAGTCTCTGCTCCTGCCAACCTAGCAGTTCGAAAGCACCTCAAAGTGCAAGTAGATAAATAGGTACCGCTCTGGCGGGAAGGTAAACGGTGTTTCTGTGCGCTGCTCTGGTTTGCCAGAAGCGGCTTAGTCATGCTGGCCACATGACCCGGAAGCTCTACTCTGGCTCCCTCGGCCAATAAAGCGGGATGTGCGCCGCAACCCCAGAGTCGGTCATGACTGGACCTTTTAGTCTAGTTCAGCCTAGTACAAAGGAGCTTCCTTTGTTGGCGCAATCCAATATCTAGAAACTGTGACTTGAAACTCTTAGATAATGGCCCTCCAGGGAAGGAAAGTCCTTCACAAAAAAAGAGATAAGGGTTCCAGGCATTAGCTGATGTAAAATTTACTGGCATGTGTACCATGGAAAAAGCAAACGAGCTTTATAAAGGTTTGGTTGTTGGATATTTTATTTGAACAAGATTTACAACAGTAAACTAAATTAGTGTAAATTGTGCCAATGTGTGTTCTCCAGAAACTGCTTTATCAGTGAAAAGAATAATCCAAATCGTTCAGTCACAGACATCAACAGTTTTCTTAAAATGCTGTTCAAATAGAAGCCAAGGGAGATATTGCTTTGAAGTTCAGAATATGGAATTACACAACAATGGACTTGAATTCAGTCTTGAAATATGCTGGGCAAAACACCTGACTCAGTGACGCACCTGCACAAGTAGTTAGTTTGGAACAGCTTCACAGCCACATACCCTTGAGTAAACTGTATACAAAAAGGAGGGATATAAATTTTATCAATAAATCATTTCTTTTCAGTAGTAAACCCCATGGAGTTCATGAGAGCCAGTGTGGTGTAGTGGTTAAGAGCGATAGACACGTAATCTGGGGAACCGGGTTCGCGTCTCCACTCCTCCACATTCAGCTGCTGGGTGACCTTGGGCCAGTCACACTTCTTTGAAGTCTCTCAGCCCCACTCACCTCACAGAGTGTTTGTTGTGGGGGAGGAAGGGAAAGGAGAATGTTAGCCGCTTTGAGACTCCTTAAAGGGAGTGAAAGGCAGGATATCAAATCCAAACTCCTCCTCTTCTTCTTCTTCTTCTTCTTCTTCTTCTTCTTCTTCTTCTTCGGCTTACTCCCAGGTAAATGTGTATAGGAGTACATGCTGAAGCAAGTCTGAGTGCTCAATAAACATATTGGGGTGGGGATGTCAGATCAAATATTCAACTAATAGCAACCCCTGCAAGATAATCTAGGCTGCATCTTGTTTTTCCTGCCCCAGTATGGCAGAAGAGACGACATAGGAAAAGCAGGGGCCTTGGGGCAGAGGGTGCTTTGCACAGCACCCGAGCACACAGACCTTAGGAATACAGTCACACAAACAATTGTACTTGATTGGTCCAACTGGTGTAGATCCCACAGAACCAGCAGATATGTGCTGGCAAAAAGTCAGCACACAACCACTTCTCCAAAAATGCACCAGTTTAAACACTCTCGGAAGAACTGTATGGGAAACTACTGAACCAGATATATAATTGTCCATCTTGGCCCAATGCTTGCTGTAGATACTCCAGTATCTTAGCTGAGATCCTCAGTTTTTTCCAAACAGAACAAGAAATTTAATAGGCAACAATAAAACAAGTGTCTTAATGGCAATTTGAGTTGAGCAAAGCAAATTTGTCCACATTCACTTGAATGGAAGTGTCTAAGGAGGCAACAACTTAACTCAGGGCTACAATATCCCAACCTTATCTTTGCAGATATATTTAAAATCCCAGCCTGTCCACTTCAATCCAAGTATCCCCATTCCCCTCCCCATTCTCAGTGCACGGAAGTGACCGGCTGTGTTTTATGTCTTTCCACAGGTGGTCTGGGTGGTGAGCTTCCTGTCAGCTTTCTTCCTGGGCTTGCCCTTTGGACTCGCTGTGGGAGTGGGTTTTTCCATCCTTGTGGTGGTTTTCCATACCCAGTTGTAAGTATTTTCCTGGTGTGGCCTGTGGTGTGGCCCAAGGAGGGACATTTTCCATCATTTGGGTCAAAATTTCAAAGGCAGGTGCTACTCCCAGCACGTGGAACATGAAAGCACCAGTCCCTGTTAGTAAACAATGATGTCAGCTTCAGGTAACTGCTAGCTAATCGGCCATTCCCATAAATATATTCCAAGGCTGGTATAAATATGAAAGTATTTACGTCATGTTAAAAACACCTGTGGCACGTATCCTCCTCTCAAATCCATTATAGATACAAGGGAACTCCCACTTATTACTCACTAAACTCTCAGTATAAGAGATAAATGTGATGCTGGACTATGCTGATATTTCCTGTGGTAGCTTGACCCAGAGAGAAAGTCAAGGTGAAACCAGATCATGTAGTTGTGCAGTTAATTTAAAAACAACAACAACCAAATAGCTGGTGGGGAGAACTAAAACGGATTGAGAAGGGGGCATTTCCGAGGGAATCTTTAACCCATTGTCCCTTCTGGGATCCTGATTTGAACTACACATACCCCACCTCTATTCATGATGGGAGGAAAGTGAGCATTTTCCTTTCCTTGTGAGCAGCAGGGTCAATGCCAACTGTGACTAGGGAAGGAACAAATTGTGAAAGGCTTCCCTCCCCCACCTCCACTCCTTCACAGTCCCAAGTCAACTCCCTCCCATCCCCGTTAGCACCAGTTGGAAGAAATGCTTTATATTCAGGCAGCATCTTTAGATGCAACTGTTTCATCATGGTAGACAACAGGAAAGGACTAAGCACAGGGACCTCTGCTTTTCTTGGTTTCTCTTTTCATACCATTAAGGTGTCCACCAGGTTAGGTCTTTCACCATCTCAGAAAAATAGGGGGGGGTGTTTTGCAGAAATGCTTCCCGCATAAGAATAACCTTGCTTCAGTGTAGACTGCAGAAGATGCTTGCAGGACTCACCTTGGTATCTCCCATGCCTGCAGTGTAGATAGGAATGTAGAACCAGAATGTCATGGCCCCCTGCTGTCTGTTATCGTTGGCAGACAGTCTCTCCCGTAAGGACTAGGAAGAATCCGCAGACCTTCTTGCCCGTATCGGCCTTGCAAATTCAGGCCACAAGAGAACTCCATGCCATGAGGGTAATGTGTGAATCAGCATTTATTTCCCCATGGTATAATTCTGATCTTGTAAGGGATGTTGAGGAACCACTTGTAAAGGCACACCCTTAGTCTCATTCCCCCATTCATTTTTTCAATGGTCAAGACTGCTCCCTAGTGTGCTACCAATTGTCACCACATGGGGGCACATTCATGACAAAAAAAAAATTCAACTGTGGAAAACTTAAATGTCTACCATATTCACAACACAGCAGTTTTCCGCTCTTTTGAACATTGTGAAACACATTCAGGAAAAAGAAGAAACTCAATCAGCTTTTTAATGTATATATGACACAATTGATCCAGAAGACACACTCTTCCTTTCTTCACACCCTCTGTCATCAATTTAGGATAGTGGTGAAGGAGACTAGCAAATGGGCCCTCACAAACACTGTTACATATTGCTAGACTAATGAAGCTACAGTGGTACCTCGGGTTACAGATGCTTCAGGTTGCAGACTCCGCTAACCCAGAAATAGTACCCCGGATTAAGAACTTTGCTTCAGAATGAGAACAGAAATCGTCCTCCGGCGGCTCGGTGGCTGCGGGTGGCTCCATTAGCTAAAGTGGTACCTCAGGTTAAGAACAGTTTCAGGTTAAGAACGGACCTCCAGAACGAATTAAGTTCTTAACCCGAGGTACCACTGTACTGTCGAGTTGCAGCTCGGCATTCAGAGGAAAATCAGTCTCACACCAAGATAGGTTCCGAAATATGGCTGCTCCTAGGGCTAATGCAGCACAGCTTTTATTGTGTGAAATAGAAAGATACAAAAATACAAGCCAAGCAATTTGTTCTAGCCAGCAGATAAAGACCTTGGTACTAGACCATGCGAGCGATCAGGCCATGCTACGTTAGCCAATCATATGGGACAGCACGAGCTGTTCACGCGCTGTTCATGCTCCAAGGATGCTTCTAGCTATGAAATCACCCTGTGACAATAAGAACTTTGCTCATGCTCTCATGTACAAGCAATCATTTTCCCACATATCCCCTTTTCTTGTTTATATTATTAGAGGAAAAGAGGGACCATCAGTCCAAATCGTACACTTCATTGCCTACGTGTCTACACTTTGCAACATAAATTCCTCTTGTAACCCCTGTGGTGGGCCGTGGTCGGTACCACCATGCAGTGCATTGGGAAATCAAAGAGGGTATGCATTGAATGCAACAACATACCATAATGAAGCCAGCAATACATGCAATTACAATCAATAATATTTTTCTTAACCATAATCCATTAGGTAACCAAGAAGACAACCACTCCCATGGATCAAAACCTTCAGGTGGATTCAAAGGATTATGGGCTATCATTTGTTCCATATGATCAATAGTAGCAGAGATATTGGTCGATTGATCAGTTATATACATGCAGCAATGAGAATGAATTAAGGCACAAATTCCACCTTTAGAAGCAAGGATCACATCTAAAGCATAATGATGTTGAAGAACTACATTTCTTATTTCTGATATTTCTTTGTTAATCATTTTTAAAGCCAAAATGGTGGAATTAAACAAATTTTCTGTCCAGTTTGCCAATTTATGCAAATCACGGTAATTCATGGCTGCACCTAAAGAAGGCAGAAGGGACCTAGAGATGGCTGTGCCTGTATATTGAGAAATAGGTGATTGTACTTCCCTTCTGTTACGCAAACGGACCGCTGGGAGCTTATCTATTTTATACACCAAGGGTACTACTATACCTAACGTGCAGGTACCAGAAAAGGCAGAGGGGATTTCTTTGTAGGCATGTGTGCCACAAAATAACCATAAGTCAGATTGAAGCAAACATGTAGTTCTGCTGCTCTTTCTCATCCAGTCGAACCAAACATAAAAGTCTCTACACGCAGCTTGTTGTTCATAGGTCATGTAGGTTGTAACATTATTAATTAAGACCTTTGGCCTACCACTCATGGTTGTAACATTAAGAAAACAAGAAGATCCATTAATATATTTATGTGTCCAATTACAATATGGATAATGACCTAAAATTTTTTGCTATTGTGATTAAAATGAAAACAATAAGGAGCTAATTCTACCAGCGATAGAAATACAGGAGGTAAACTTATGCGATTGTCCTTCATATTATTGCTAATCTTATATGAAGCATTTACTGGAATACCACCACCAAAACAAGCTCAAAACTTTTCAAAGCTTTTCAAAATCATTTTTCTCAGCAGCTAAAAGGCAGTAGCTAAGCATATGCTGTTTGCTGTAACTAAAAAAAATTGCAACAAGGTAGAGAACAGAGTCCATTGTCTTCCAGGCCTTGCTGAAGAACCATATTGCAACTTGCTTTCTGTCCGGGAACCATGCCAAAGCACAAGAATGAAACAACTGGAACACACTGAAATTCCCCTCACCCCCTCCCTTGCCAAGAGTCCACAATAGTTCCAAGACAGCTTTCTGTACATGCTCAGGGGAATACATCATAGGGCAGGACTCCTGAGGGAGGAGAAAAGAAGAAGAGATCTGTGGGGTAAATCCAAGCGATGCCGGTAAGGATGAGAATGGTAAATTAGTCCAATGGCCACTTCCGAGCAACCTGTGTGATATTTCGTGGCTCGATTATTGGCATGTAAAAACCACAATCCAGGAGAAGCCACACAGCCATTTCTGCAGATACAGGAGCCCATTTGCTGTAAATAGGCCTGATGTATTGCTCCTTGTACTGCTGAGTCAAAAGTCCAAACCCAACGAAACGTGGTGACACAGATGGGATGGTTGCTATTAGGGGGCAAAACCCAAGCGATGCCGGTCTGACGAGGGCATCCTTCAAAGCCAGGTTCATTTCCCAGACAAGAGGCGGCAAAACTGTAACGATAAGTGGTAGAAACGGTGGCTTCCCAGGGGGAAGGGGGGCCAACGCGATAGGGTTGAAGATGGCCTTTCAACATGCCAGGAAACACTGGAACAGCTGTGGAAGGTGACTTTATCCAGGGCACATCAATATGGCGATGTCTCCAACTGCAATGTGGGTTGAGGTCAGGTGAGAGGTCATCATCGGCAAACAGCATAAAATACGGTTTCAAGGTGCTGGTGTCTCCTTGGGCGAAGACGAGGCAACAGAAGAGCGCCAAGGTCGAACGCAGGAAATCAAAGAAGTTGGACCCTTCCACTGTGGATCTGGAAGCAACCTGTAAGACACTAAAGGACGCTGCAATATTTCTTCCTTCCAGAAATGAAGTTCAGCAGGCGTAAAATTCCTGTTGCCAAATAACCAGGGTGACCAATATGTGATCTAAGATGTGCTTCAGAAAATTGACAAGTCCTGGCCTGTATCAAAGATGGGGCACTTTGTGCTGGAGTGACATTGCTGTGCGATAGATCTGCACTGCGCACGAAAATGGTGCACTTTGCTACATCCAAAGCAGGTTTTATCCTTTGCAGGATTCTGGGGCACGGTGGAGGACAAAGCCGTGGCTAGCAGGCGAGCTTTGTGCATCTCAGTGCCCACTGACTGGCAGGCTTTAAGCACATCTGCAATGACTATATTTGGTGTTGTCATCAAAGGGCGTAGAACTTGTTTACAGTCCTCATTTTTATCAAACGCAAGCTGGCGGACAATCAGTTCTTGGGCTGCTACGTCCTGAACTTGCCGCTTAAGAGTGTTATCCAAGCGATCGACAAATTGTCCATAGGGCTCTGTAGGACCTTGTCTAACGCTCCCCCATCGGCCATCGCGCTCAGTTTTGTCATCAGGGACAGAGGCCAAAGCCTCTTGGGCAGCAGCCGTGGTGGCCTCCCAATATTGAGGATCGAGAGTTAGCTGTTGGGCAACAGTAAGAAAATTGCCTTCGCCAGTTAAGCCATTAGGAACATCAGTTTGGTTCAGCATAACAGGGGCTGGGGGTGCAGGGCCATTGTCCTTGACAGAAGAATACAGTTCCTTTATGAATCGCAAAGCAAACTGTTCGTGCCGGCTGGGCCTCCCCCTGGCGCGGCAGGAGCAATCACAGGGAAGAGATTAGGAGTTGTACAATCAAAACCCAACAACGGAGCAGCGGCACGGAGAGATTCTTGGAGAGGAGTAGTAGAAGCGGTGCCAAATGCCTTGGGCGCAGGAGGTGGAAGAGCGGGGGGTGCTGCAGAATTTGAAGAATGCAGGGGAGTGACGGGAGAAGCCGGAGGGAAAATGTCCGGCGGTTTAGGAGGTATGTTTGAGGCAGGCAAAGCGGGAGCTGGGAGGGCGGGCGAAGAAGCTGTTGCGGCAGCCAGAAGAATGTTTGAAGGAGTTAAGCACGACATAGCTTTGTAGACGTTACTCCAGGCGTGCAAAACCTTGACATCAATCTGAGGATGATTTTGAAAGAAGTGTCCAATTTTTTTCCAATCGTCTAACTCCCAATTTCCGTCCTGGGGGAACCAGGGGCAGTGAGTGTCCAGGGCTTTTATAAGGGACTTAAGGTCAGCTTTCCGAACAGCAAGGTTGTTACTGGCCAAAAGGAATTTAAGGTCTTTAAAAAATTTTTTCTGTGGTGCAGAGAGAGATTTTCCCATGATTGCAAGAGTTGCAAAAAGAGCAGGGAGCACTTACCGAGGGATCCGTAGGAGGATGAGAGAGAGGCGCCTTTTGCCCTGTCCGGGCGGAGATAAGTGCTGATAAGACCGTAACGTAGTCCAGAATCACATTCACACGGGAGCTCTCACCGGGGATCCACTACGTGGATGAACGACGCGTCTGCAGCCCTTGCGGGGCGAGGTGAGAGCTGAACGTTGTACACACGGGAGCACTCACCAGGGATCCACTACGTGGATGAACGACGTGTTGGTGAGTGCTGAACAATGAAAAACAGGCAGTCACACGGGAGCACTCACCAGGGATCCACTACGTGGATGAACGACGTGTTGGTGAGTGCTGAATCCGAAGGCAATCACACGGGAGCACTCACCAGGGATCCACCACGTGGATGAACGATGTGTTGGTGAGTGCTGAATAAAACAACGTGAAGTCCGAAGGCCTCACACGGGGCACCAATTGTCGAGTTGCAGCTCGGCATCCAGAGGAAAATCAGTCTCACACCAAGATAGGTTCCGAAATATGGCTGCTCCTAGGGCTAATGCAGCACAGCTTTTATTGTGTGAAATAGAAAGATACAAAAATACAAGCCAAGCAATTTGTTCTAGCCAGCAGATAAAGACCTTGGTACTAGACCATGCGAGCGATCAGGCCATGCTACGTTAGCCAATCATATGGGACAGCACGAGCTGTTCACGCGCTGTTCATGCTCCAAGGATGCTTCTAGCTATGAAATCACCCTGTGACAATAAGAACTTTGCTCATGCTCTCATGTACAAGCAATCATTAAGAACTTTGCTTCAGAATGAGAACAGAAATCGTCCTCCGGCGGCTCGGTGGCTGCGGGTGGCTCCATTAGCTAAAGTGGTACCTCAGGTTAAGAACAGTTTCAGGTTAAGAACGGACCTCCAGAACGAATTAAGTTCTTAACCCGAGGTACCACTGTACTCTGTTTTGTTTAGCAAGATTTAGAGCCACTGCTGCTGCTGTGTTTTCAAGAGATTTCCTCCATTGGCCCAGTGAAATGGGAACCATAGATAAATTTATTGATATTCGTGGTGTGTTCAAATACAAAGCTCTACTGGCCTGCCCCTTTTATTTTATTTCCTCCAATTTGGATAGATCTGGTATAATAATAATAATTAATAATAAATGTATTTATTTATACCCTGCCCATCTGGCTGGGTTTCCCCAGCCACTCTGGGTGGCTCCCAACCGAATATTAAAACCACAATACAGCATTAAACATTAAAAACTTCCCTAAACAGGGCTGCCTTCAGATGTTTTGGAACATAGCAGTGACAGCCACAGGTAGTTAAAGGGGAAAAATTTTGCCTGGCACCTAAAGCTATATAATGACTTATAATGAAGTTAAGCACACAATCCTTTCTTTTCTATTTCACTTGCATCATTGAACTGTATTAACAGGAACTTCAGTGAAACTGATTTTTTTAAAAAAGGCTGACTATATTTTGACAATTGTTTCTTTCCATTTTCCTTCACAGTCGCAATGGTTGTGTCATTGGTCCTGTAGCTGCTACTGATATATACAAAAATCCCAAAGTCTACAACAAGGTAAATGGGTCAGAAAATAACTCTCTGCTTCCTCCTGTTTTAGCCATCAATACACAAGTGAGATGTTTGCTGTCTCATCAGATGTGATTTGAGTCTGAACATCTATTTGCTGTGCAAATTTACCTCATAGTATTGATGGCCAAAGTTGGCCATTATTGTTCAGTAGAGTTTGAAATTCACTGGCAACATTGCTCTTTTCTTTTGTAACCATTTCCATGGCTAACATCGTTTGTGCACCACTTCCCAAACCAGCAGTGGGAGCTCGCTGCTTGCAGAGTAAATAGGAATATGTATGACACTGGCTCTAGTATGAATGTCCAATTATGTTCTGTGCCATAGGGAATCTTATGAAAGACAAACACATGGAACAGGCTCAGCAACCTAATCACTAAGGCATGGGTAGGCAAACTAAGGCCTGGGGGCCGGATCCAGCCCAGTCACCTTCTAAATCCAATCTGCGGATGGTCCGGGAATCAGCGTGTTTTTACATGAGTAGAATGTGTGCTTTTATTTAAAATGCATCTCTGGGTTATTTGTGGGGCATAGGAATTCATTCACCCCCCAAAAAATATGGTCCACCCCCCATAAGGTCTGAGGGACCGTGGACCAGCCCCTTGCTGAAAAAGTTTGCTGACATCTGCACCAAGGCTCTACTTTGTAGCCTGTTTGGCTAAATTGAAGAGTCAATACTATCTGGGAAGGAATTTCAGTTTAATTTAACTTTTGCAAAGGGTGAAAAGTGTGCAAGATAAGGAAAATGTACTTTCTCGCTATGTTCCGTTCCCTAGCAAGAACAGGGATGAAAGAGTTAATGGAAAGTAGTAACTCTTACCAAAGTGACACCACTTTCAGGAAGCAGACTAGCAAACTGAGGGGGATCCACATGTTAACAGGTGCTACGTATTCAGTCCTGCAACAGGGCACACATAGCCTAGGATTCTGCCAGCCAGCTGTTTAGGTGAAAGCTTGTGCTGGATTGAATGGACTCCCCCATCTGAGATGCACTTACCCACCAAAAATGTGTAGATCTGGAGAGGGAGCCTGCTGCCACAGTGCAGCCATTACCGCCCGCATTCATTTCTCCTTAGCTGAGTATGGGTAAAGGGTTCTTTACTAAATCTTCCTCCTTCTTTTAAACATCTCAAAAGAACTGCAAGTACCATTTGAACCCTGAGAACTTTTCTCTTTCTTTGCAGGTCCGAGAAATTGAAGGAATTAAAATTGTTACCTACTGCTCCCCTCTTTACTTCGCTAATTCAGAGATATTCAGGGAGAAAGTTATTGCCAAGGTAAAAAAATAAAAAATAAAAATCTATTGTGTAGGCGATGATTAACCATTTTTCGCATTACAGGAACAGATATTTACCTCATGCCAAAACCATTTCTTCATCGCGATGTACGATTTTCCTCACTAAGCAACAGCAAATGTCTTGCAAACAAAGGCGTATATTGGACCTGTTTAGTTCTCTCACTTAGTTCACTGACAAACGTTGGGAGTAAATAAATGAGTAAATAAAAAAACAAGAAGTCATACCACTTGGCTTTCTGCACCATCAGTTTTCAGAGCTCAGTCTACCTTGCAGTGACAAGCCTGGAACACCAAAAGTTGTGGAGAGATGAATAAGCTTGGTAGGGAAATTTTTCGAAAGGCTTGTCTGGCTCCTACTCTGATGCCTTTTCAGGGCCAAGTGAATATATTATTTATTTCCATAGGCTTCTCTCTCTCTCTCTCTCTCTCTCTCTCTCTTTCTCTCTGTTGATTTCCTCTCAGATTTCATTGTGGTTTCTCCACTTTTCTCTGTATTTTGTTATTTTATTTTTAAAATAAGTGTACGTATCATTGTCACCACCGACATCTTAGGAAGCAGAAGCAGTCACTGGGCAAACTAGTGTACTGTACTCACACTTGCACTGAAATATTTTGTTTGAATCTCATTTTGAAGCCAATATCCCAGCCCTACCCATTGCTTCCCAATGAATATAACTCTTGCTCAAGTTAGGAAGACACATTTTTAAATGTAAGCGGACCCATCTCTCGCTTTTCAGCTCCACCACTGGTAGAAACTGTGGATTCCCTGGGTAGAATCCAACATGGCACTAAGGAGGTCATTCCATTCTGCTTGCCTGATGCAATGATCTTGCCTTTCCTTCCTCCTGCGCACTCTCCTGGGAAGTCTCCAGGACCACCACCACAACCCCGCCAATTGGGGTGGGGCTCAAGGGTAGAGAGAGGGGAAAGCCCTGGGGGTCCTGGAACTGGCTTTCACTTGCAGGACAGGGTCGCTGAACATGGCGGCCCCTTTTGTTACACGTAGGAGTTGAGAACAACCTGGCTTACTGTATTTTATTTGAACAGACTGGTGTGGATCCTATCAAAGTCTACTTGGCGAGGAAAAAGTATGTGAAGAATCAAGAAAAGGCAAGGGCAACATCAGAGAAAACAAGCAAACTAAAATCGCTCTTCAGGAAAAACAAGGTAATTTAGCAATTTTCCTAGTTGTGAGAGATCCTTTCTATGTGTGATACATGAAGGGGTTAACCTTGTTGGAGCGCCAGAGGGCAGCTTTGTTGGGGACAGGAAGAGAGCCCTACTTATTCTGGCCATTAAAAAAAAAGTTGATCTGTGTGCTGCAACAGTGGAAAGAGGCTACCAACAGCCTAAAAAGAACTGTTGTTGCTGCTAGAATATGGGGTAGCATTTGTTTTCCACTTTGGGGAGAGATTTCACCAGCCTTCATGGCCACTCCTAAACCTGACTGGGACAGTGGAGGAGCAGTCAGCCTCCATATAATTTTTTAAAAAATTAAATAAACTTCTTTTTTTAAAAAAAATGTTCACTTAATGATGTAAGTCATTCATCATGTGTGACTTCATAGGCACTATCCAATAGATGCCCGTAACTTCCATGTACCACATTTTGTTCTGCACCCACTACTGCAACTAATGCACTAACTTGGGGGAAGGGAAATAAATTCCTTTCCCAAAAATATTGAAAACAAGTGTAACATTTTTTGTAAATTGCTTTGGGTCACTGTGGAGAGCTGTTGCTGGTCAGAATAGATAATGCAAAGTGTAGTATGGTCAATGGGAGGGATTTAAAACAAAACTTATCACAGTAGGAAAAGGAAAAGAAAAAAAACCCACACTCCTTTCTTCACCTGGTTGGTGCAAGCCTGGCAGATCTCCCCACCACCACCACACGCACCAATTTCCATACAGTGGCTCTGCCCATAATTAAATGAAAATGAGATGCATAATTTAAAAATCGCTATTTATCCCAAGTGTTGCTGTTTTGAAAACTCTGGCCTAATTCCTTGCAAACTGGAAGGACAAGATTAAAAAATAATAATACACAGCTAATTGCCACATATGAAACAGGAATTACTTGATTAGCAAGAAGATGTTTGCAAGTTGATTCTGCCACAAACACAGGGTGTATGGAAACAAACAAGCTTGGCTTACAATGCATGCACCTATAAACCACAGGAAGCTGCAGGTTAGACCAGGGACTGAATAATGGTACTAGCATGCAAATTGTTGTTGTTGTTGTTGTAATAAAATTGGGCCAAACTGGATTTTTGGACTAGACTGGATTTTCCCCCATTAGTTTTATCATTATAAGGCAAAGAATATTCATCAATTATTTATTGCAAATCCAGTGCAAGCTACTGAATTCTACAGTGAAAAATGTGAAGAAAATGTATGAACTTGCTAAAATTGGGAATTGTTGGGCCATTCCTTCCTTTGCCCTTCATGCGCCACTTGTATGTTTTTTTATAATCTATTACTGTCTTTCATTGGAATTATTTAGTTTATTTCATAAAATTTATATACCACTTGATTGTAAAAAACAACAAAAACAACAACCAACAACCCCCGAAGCTGTTTACAAAAAGAATTAGTAGATAAACAACCAACAGCTAGCACTGCTGCTTATGATTAATGCTGAAATCCCTCAGTCTCACCTCATTCAGGAGAGTACTCTAACTCTCCAGAGAGCCTTTTTCAGTATTTCAAGCCAATATTTAAATGATATCATATAAAAGTTTGTACTGTATTAATGTATTTGACAGCTGGTTTTGTTTTGTTTTAATGGCATTTTCTGATATTTTGCTATCCACTTCAGATACCAACCATGGCAGAAATGTGGTGTATGTGCATAAGCACACATGCATGTTGCAGGTTCAATCCCCGTATGGGACAGCTGCTAGATCATTCTCAGGGACCCTTCCACCTCTATGAGTCTATGCGCGTATAATCAACATATAACATATGAAACAAATATTTTATTTATTTATTAAACTCCTTAGTCACGGTTTGTTTGTTTGTTTCTTTGCCAATGCAACCCAAAGCAACTCACAATAAATAAGACCAACAGCAATGAAAATAAGTTAGAATAAATATGAACTTGAATGTGGTCCCCCTTCCTTTGCTACAGACTATGTCTCTGCAAGAGCTCCAGAAGGATTTTGCAAGCATGTCTCCGACAGATACCAACAATAACCAGACCTCCGCAAATGGTAAAAGCGTCTCCTACATTAACTTCAACCCATCTGAAAAGCAGGCTGAACAGGGAACCATTGCCAGTCATCGCAGCAGCACCTGCAGCGCTATCCCAGAATCAAATATTGACCCCATGACCACAGCGCCCCCATTTGTCAACTTCCACACAATTATCCTGGATATGAGCGGCGTTTGCTTTGTGGACCTGATGGGCACGAAAGCTTTGGGAAAGGTCAGTTTTTTCACTTGGTTCTACCTCCGGTTTATTTCTGTGACACTGCCTACTGAATTCGTTCTCTTTAAAACTTCCCGTTGAGTTCTCTTAAGTTTTAATAACAAGAGCTGCAATAGTCTTATTTTAAGAAAAGTTGGCAGGCACAGGGTAGCATTAGGCTCGTTTCAGCTAGTTGTAAACGCTGCCAGATAAGCAATCAGAACAAGATGCTGAATCAAAGGAACACAGGTCAGTTCCCAGAAACAGACTGTGACCCTTGCACTCCTCCTATGGATCTCCTTCTGCTGCACTATTCAAAGCTCAGCCATTGTTTACTGAGCCTGAACACTTGGTGATTCCCATTGCTGTTCCAGGGTTACACATTGCATCAGTATCACCTGAGCTAAGCACTTTTGAAAATGCAGTGCTACATAGTTTGGTGTCTGTCCCCCCATATGACACTGGAAGTGTTATTATGCTAATATACCATGTCTTGAATTTGTAGTGCATCCTAAATTCATGGACTCTCAGATTTTGTGTTGTAAAAGCTAATAATGTACTCTCGTTCCCTCCCCCACTCCTGGTCTCCTCATATAGCTGTGCACCAACTATCAGAGGATTGGGATTCAAGTATTTCTGGCAAATGTACAAGGTAGGTATATTGCTCTTTGTACCATATTTTCTCTATCTTCCATTCTGAGGGCCTTGAAAATGGGCAGAATAACAGCAAATAAATATATTGCATGTAAAACACATTACCATTTTCATATTAATTGCAAAAATCTAGGTTCTATACAAATTTACAAGTGCTGTTCTGTAGTACAGCATGGGGACTGAGTAGGTATTTAATAATGTAGCAATAACACAAATCAAGTTCAAACATCACTGAGCAATGCCCTCCGACTTTTTATATATATGCAAAGTAACCCCGGAGGCTGCCAGGTTATTTGACACTTCAAAATTTGCTTTCACCAATCTGCTTTTCTTTCTGTGGGTGAAAAGATACTCATGTACCCTATCTCTCCCATGATTGGCAAAACAGCTGGAGGGGTGGTTATAAAAAGATATATGGCTGTATGTGGAAGGGTTAAACAGGTCTACAAATCAGGGGAAGAATCACACAACTGAAACTGGTTGTTGCATGTAGTTTCTGTCCCTCTAGTAGTATTAAATATCCAATGTGAATTGGTTTTGTATCAGTTTCCTAATGTAAACTCCTTGTTCCATTGTAGCTGCTTTAGCCAGCTAAAGGGTTCAGGGCATGACAATTCATAACAAAGCCTGTTTGTAGCCAGCAGAAAAGACACACAATGCTTAAAAAATAAATAAATCACACAACAGCATATGAAGAGGCAGGTATAAGAGACTTACATGATTAAGGGGTTGGTGTTTTCTTCTGCTTCACTGCATTAATTTTCGATTCAGTGTTGTGTTTTTCTGAAATCATTAGACATTGCTAATGGTTGTAAATGTGTGACTTTACTTAACCATAAGAGGTATTATTATACCTCAGATTTCTTGAACTTGATTGTTCTTGGAAATAGCATGCAATTGATATGCCAAAGCAGCTTAAAGCTGGAAGATGGAAACACAGAGGAGGGATGGCACTTCTACTGAGGCAAAAGTATAGGGTATTTTTTTCATGATTGCAATTCAACCCACATTTTAACTTAATAAACATATGAAATCATGTTTATTCAAGAATTATGAGATTTCCTTAAGAGTGTTATGATAATGGTGGTGAAATTAATGAATTATTCTACATATTGGAGCTTGGGATAGGGTTCTAAATAATGTGAGTCTCCAGATCTTAGAGATTTAATGACACAGTGACTCTTTCTATACCACTTCTTGTCCCGGAAAAAAATATTTTGCCAACACATGACATGAACCAGCTGCTTCCAAGTGTACAGCTGTGGGGGAAAAACATTTCCCAGCAAAGAACCTGCAGTCCCCCTTAGTCCTCTAGCTCAATCCATTAACATTTGAGCTTCAAATTCAAACAGCAATAGGGCGTCATCCTAGTTCCATATACTTGTGTCTGATTCTTAACAATTGCAACAGGTCCTATGGGCTTTAAATATTATCATTTTGCATTACGTAGGCCTTCTACCTATTATTCTCACTCACAAATCTAGTGTATAGGAAATGCCCTGACAAATAATTTTCCAGCACACAGCTCCTGCTTGCAGTTTAGTCTATATAACTTTGTCTCCTTCGTTAGCCCAAGTGTATGATGATATCCGCACGGGGGGAGTCTTTGAAGAAGGAGGTCTTGAGCCCAGTCATCTTTTCGTGACCATTCATGATGCTGTTTTGTTTGCAACAATGAATGGAAACAGAGCCACGCAGCGACCTGACTTAGAGCAGGTAAAGATGATTCACTGTCTCTTCGCTCTTTTTGCCACATATGTGCAGCTCTGTGCACGTGTGTTTAATACTCTTCTGCTTTCCTTTAGGACATTGCCTTAGTGGTTATGAATCAGATTGGCTAATAGGCTTTTTCTTTTCTTACACTTTGATCCTGCCCTTTCTCCAAGAAGCTCAAGACGACATACACAGTCCTCCACTCTTTATAACCCTGTTAAGTAGGTTAGGTTATAACCCTGTTAAGTAAGTAGTCACCCAGTGAGTTTCATGGCTGAGGGGAGATTTGAACTTGTGTCTCTGCAGTTTTAGTCCTACACTGTAACCAGTATAGTATGTATGAATGAATGCAACCAAACTTTCTGCTCTCTATTGTTCACCACCACTAACAGACTCACAGCCCTCCACCACACCACTGGAGATCCTATAATCCAGTGTTTCCCAACCGGTGTTCCGCGGCACACGAGTGTGCCGTGAGACATCGGCTGGTGTGCCGCGAGATGCCTGGAGGGAGGCGGGCGAGTCGGGCGGCGAGAGGCGGGGCGGCGGCGGCGAGGAGCCCGCTCGGCGCGCAAAGCGAGGGAGGCTGGAGCCAAGAGCAGCGGCGAGCAGGAGGCGCTTGGTGGGAGATTCAGCCGAGCCCGAGCTGCGTGCGCTCCCGAACCTCTGGGCGGAGAAGAGCGTGCGTGTGTCCGGGCTTAGCGACGGATCCTCTCACCCGGCGCAGCAGAAGACAACCCTCGGGGCGGAGCTCCTGCCACAGGCCTCCCGCCTTCTTCCCCACGCGGGGCAGAATAAGTGGAAACCGGCGGACGCAGCGGGTTTTCTCAGCCGCTGCCCGGGTTGCCCCTCTCTCCTACAGAGCCGCATCCATCCCAGCCCCTCCTGTCATCTCAACCTGCCCGTCTAATTTACATACCATCATATCCTCCTTTCTATTGATTCACTTAGATTTAGTCTTACATTTCTCGCTTTGTCTCCGTAGACTGCGCGGAGGGAGAGCCAGAGAGAGCATCGCTCCTGCGCGGCGGGAGAGGGAGCAGCCGGAGCGATGCCCCAAACGAGCTGAATTCCGAGCGAGGGACTGAGGGGGGAGGGAAAAAACTTTCACTTTCGTGCGTCCCTCCCGGCGTGACGCTGCGCGCTGACGTCACGGGGCGGGGCTTTAATGGTGGTGTGCCGCGAGATTTTTTTTCAGTAAACAGGTGTGCCGTTGCCCAAAAAAGTTTGGGAAACACTGCTATAATCAATTGCACCTCCGATCATCAGATACTGTACACCTATTTTCAAGCCTAGCTTTGCACCTGTTAGCAACTTTTTTTAAAAAAAGAAAAATGCTAATATTCTTTCTGCCCCAACAGACTCTGAAGAGGAAGCTTGAGGGGAATGAGACAACAGGCTCCTTTTAGTCATCAGAAAGACATAGCTGAGTGTCTGGTCAATGGGTGTGTGTTGGTGTGCTAGATTTGGGGACAAGGGCTGCAAGCTGCCCTGACTACTTTTCCATTCTGGACTCATTTTATCCAGCCTGAGTCTTGAGAGAAGGTAGTGGCCTGCTCTTCCTGGAAACCTATCACAGATGACCAAGTTTGAAAAATGAAAAACAAAACAAAACATGAAGTTGTTAGCGGTCCAGTCTAAATGTAATGGGCAAAATCTGTTTGGATTTGGATAGGTGTAAATAAAGAAATATTAAGTATGGTGAGTGGCAGATAGCAAGGACTAGAAATGGTAGCATGTTAAATTGCCCCATCTTAGTTCTGTGTGTTCATGCACAGATATAGACAGCAAATCTATACAGTTCAGTGGTTCATCTAAATGGACATTCTGGTTTTGTGCTTCTTTCTCTCTAGAAGCCTTCACAGGTTGGCTTTTTAAAAATCCCTATGGAATTGTGGGGAAGAGCCCCAAATGAAGATCAGCAAATGATCTGCTAACTCTTGTGGAGATAAAAGTATTAACTGGCCTCCCAGATCAAATAAACTCACTACCAACAAATAACTTTATCTCATATGGACTGAGCTTTAGCTTATTGGTCATTACTAATCTCAAACACTGATGCACCATGCCTGCCACCTCAATGTATCTGGTTAAAAGGAGAAATAGAGCTGGGTATCACAAGCATATTGATGACACCTCACTCTATTAACTTGCAGCTAAATGTATGAACTGATTCTACAAAAACATTGTATATGAAGAGAGGAAAGATGAATACTATGGTTTTGATCAGTAGCAAAATGGCTCATTCAGACTTGCAAATTGCCACTCGATGCTGCACTTATCAAGCTATAATCATGCATGTGTGAGTCAGGCAGTCTGCAAAGCAAACCTGTGTTGCATGCAACAAACTAGCACACAGACATTTTAAAAAAATAAAATAAAAAACACCCCATCATTTTATATCTAGCTGCTAAGCTCATGGGGTAGTCATGGTCTTGGTTTCCTTATTTGCATTTCTGTGCTTGATAAAGGACTTGTTGACCCAGCCTTCAGCTGACATGATGGAACACCTAATCATTGCTGTATGGCAACTGCTATTTGCTCCTAAGAGATTTGTTGAAGGTGAAATCATCTGGTTATCATTTGGATATGGGGCAAAGGACTAAGTCCTTGTTCCACCGTGAGGCTGGGTCTAGCTCCCGAGGCATGATAGGAGGCAGATACGTGGGGGCTGGGCAATATTTTTAGAAGCCTGTCCTGAACCACACACAGATATTTGTGTCTACAACATTCATGAAAAGATGTTTGTGTACCTTCTATTTTTCAAACTTCCAACGATTGCCAATCCACTCACACCCTTAACAAATGCTATTTGAATGCATTGACCCTTCCAAGAACAACTTGAAGTGCCATCACATCATCCAAATGCCACTGAAACCAAACTATTCGCAGAACCCTTGTCTCACTCTTACAAGACTTTTAGTACTTGGGAATGAATACATTAACACAACAAAATACATGTGTGGTATATGTCAACCATAAGGGTTTTTGTGTGGGCACATTACTGTTTAATGAATTTGCATAAACTGTTCCTTATACAATCTAGAAAATGTTTGAGGAGCTTGCTGACATGTAGGTACATGCCAGAACAGTGTAACAAAGCACTACAAACATGCCGCAGTGCCTACAAATAACAATTATACCCCATGTTACAATACAATAAATATTTATTACTTGTAGCTATAGGCCATTGCAAAGAGGGGAGAGTTACAACTGGAAACTCGGGGAAGGGAGGGAGCTCTTGAGCTTTTGGGTCCTGCTTGCATGCTTCCCACAGGCATCTAGTTGAAAACTGTGAGAACAGGATGCTGGGACTAGATGGCTCATTGGCCTGATCCAGCAGCCTCTTCTTATGTTCATGATTCATAATGTTTGCAGCAGCAGCTGAAAAAGTACACAACCAGTTGCTGTATTATACTCTGTCTATTACTTGCAATCACAGTAGGGGGCATCATTCTTAAATACATATATATGAGCTGTCCCCCTATGCTAGCATTTGTATTTGGTAATTAAATCTTTTAGAGTCTTGTGCTGACCTTTGGTTTTAAACAAATAAATGGCTGACTAGCAACATTATCATGTTTTTTAGCTTGCAAACAATAACTGGTGATTTGTCATGCTTCCATACAGAGGTCAAGTCAGATAGAAGTCTCTATCTCTGATGAATCACTGGAAGACAGCAGTGCTGAATTCCAAAACTTAGAAGAGGTAAGTTAAAAGAAAAATGTGGTATTAAGTGAAATGTCTGAGCACTCATTCTTCTTAGTACATTTCTGGCCTGTTACTAGTATTCTCAGCATCAGCTACTCTAACCCAAATCCCTTTTTTCTCCTAGGAAATGTTTGGAAGCATTTTTCATTCGGATGCACAGACAGCACTGTGAGCTCATGAGAAACACTCATATGA